CACACCAGGCACACCTTCAGCCCCTCCGCCATGCCGCCACCACCACCACCACCACCACCAGCAGCAGCAGCAGCAGCAGCAGCAGCGGCGGGGGCAGCGTGGCAGCAGCGCGCCCGAGCCACACCACACCACAGTCACGCCACACCACACCACAGTCACGCCACACCACACCACACCACAGCCACGCCACACCGCCCTCACCAGGAACACCTTGAGCCCCTCAACCTTGGCCTGCAGGCTGCGCCCAAACACCGCGATGTTGTCGTCGTAGCGGGATCCCTGCACAAGGGGGGCGGCAGCCGGGGGTTGTTTGTTGTCGTGGTCGTGGCGGCGCAGCAAGACAGCGCGACCAAGGCCACCCAGCCCGCTAGTGCAGCGCAGCGCAGCGCAGGCGCCGAAGGCCGCGGCAGCGCAGTGCAGGCAGCGCAGGCAGCGCGCATGACGCCAGGCAGCCCAGCCAAGTTTCGCAAGAGAGCGGCGGGTCCCCACCTGGGGCGCCACCTCCTCCTCCGCCAGCGGCTCGTCGGGCAGGCTCTCTATCGAGTCAAAGTAGAACCACTGGTGGAGGGGGTGGAACTTGCCGGAGGCGGCCTTGACCACCTGGGGAGCGAGAAGGGTGGGGGGGAGGGGAGGGGGGGCGGTGGGATCAGCGAGTGGCGGAAGGAGGGAGGGAGGGAGAGGAGGCGAGGAGGGAGGCATGTTTGAGGAAGGAGGTAGGGTGAGCACAGCGAAACGCACAGGAAAGGCGAGGTGGAGGGCATGGGCAGCCATCACAGGCAGCATGGGGAACCGCCAACGGCGGAACGAGGACCGGCCAAAGGCGGCACGAACCAACCACCCGCCCCGCCCCACACACCACTGCCTCACCTCCTGCCCCACCACGCCGCCAAACATGGCCGCCATCGGGTTGAGGCAGGCGCGGGCGGTACCGGCCAGCTTGCGCAGCACGCCCTCGTCCAGCTCCACCTGCGGTACCATGGTGGCAGGACCATGAGCGGGGCTGTACCATGCGGCGGCACCCTCGTGCGGCGTCCGAGTGCGGCGGTTGGCGGCAGCGCTGGGCACGGGAAGGGGGAGGGCAAGGGTGGTGCCGCCTGTGAGATACTGCCACGCCAGGCGTGGCGGGACCGTCATACCTTGTCGGAGGCGGCCTCGTTGATGGCCTTGGCCTGAGCCACCACCGCCGCCGCATCCGCCTCATTACCCGGCTCGGGCAGGCGGCCCTGCGGGGAGAGGAGCGGGCACCGGAACCGTGACATGGGCCCATGCTTGCTGGATGGGGCTGGCAGCCAGATGGCGGCGAGGACACGCGGGCAGCAGGGCAGGCGGGAGGTTGGGTGGGCAGGCGGCCGGGCCGGCGGGGATGTGGGAGGCAGGAGGTGGGTGGGAGGGGCCAGAGGCCGACAGGGACAGCACACGGCTGACCTCCAGCGGCGGCACACACAGCAGCTGCACATTGTGGCGGCGCTGCTGCGCATGGCCGTGCATGTGCAGTGCACGGTACAGCGGTACCATGTGCAGTACCTGTGCCGCCTGGAAGGCATCCAGCGCCTGGAAGCCGACGTGCAGCAGCGGGGAGCGCTCCAGCTGCGAGGAAGCCGCCCAGATGGGGTGGGAGGGTCAGGCATGGGCAGGGCAGGGGCAGGGGCAGGGGGGCAGGAAGGGGCAGGCGTGATGGGGCGAGCGTGGGAGCAGAGCCGGCTGCAGCACCAGCCGTGGCGCCGGGGCGGCAGCGCCGGAGCAGCAGCTCCAGATACAGCGCGCACACGCAGCATCCCGCAGCACCAGGGGCAGCGGGCAAACCCAGCGGTGTCTGCCCAGGCTGCTGCGCACACCACTCCTGACACACACACACATGCCACGCCACGCCCCCACCTTGGAGAAGTCGGAGAGCAGGAACTCTCCCGGCTCCCCCAGCGCCTGCGCCAGCGGCTTAAAGGCCAGCGTCTTGCTGCCCTTGTGCTGCGTCACGATGCCGCCGCGCTGGTAGGGGCTGCGGGGAGGGGAGGGGAGCAGGAGAGCAGCAGGCGGTCAGAGGGGGAGGAGGCGGCGGGGGAGGGGAGGGAGGCATGCGCGGCGGGAGGGGTGCGGTGGGAGCACGGCAGTGAGCCGTGGGTGCTGCTGCGCTTTCATTCTTCCCCGCTGCACCCCACCCCCGCCCCCACCTGAAGTTGGTGGAATCGATCTCCAGGTAGAAAGAATGCGCCTTGCAGCCCTTCACCCGGATCGGCGCCCGGCCGTTGAGCTCGCTCATGCCCACCACCTCGCTCAGCGTCACCTCCTCGCCTGCAGGGGGGTGCAGGCGGGGGACCGGGGTGGCTGAGAACGGACTTTGGGACGCGAGGGAGTGGAAAAGAAGGAGCGAATGAAGGGTGGGTTGGGGAGACATCCAGCTATGGCTACATTAGGCGCGGGCAGGCAGGCAGGGAGAGGGGCCACGGCTGGGAGTGGAGGGAAGGCAGGCAGAATAGGCGCGTGGGAGACGTCGTGGTGGGCGGCGGGCAGGGGTGCCCGCTGGCCTCCCAAGCGCCACACACATAGACGCATCCACACACACACGCACACGCGCGCCCGCCACCCCCACCCCCCTCACCGTCCTGGAATTCCAGCCGCTCATCCTCCACCGTCGTCACCAGCGTGGGGTTGCCGGGGGTGATGCCAGCCACGATGCCCGTGTGCGGCTCCTCGCCTGCAGGGGGGGCAGGCGGAGGAGGGAGGGGAGAGGGAGGGGAGTAGTGTGTGTGGGAGGGAAGCGAGGAGGAGGGTGAGTGAGGGGGGAGGGGGCGGGGAGGGGGCGTGCGGGGGGGTTGGCAGGAGGAGGGAGGCAATCAGAAGCACGCAAGGGAGAGCCGAGCGGGAGGACAGGAAGGGTCAGCAGGAGAGGAAGGGTCGGCAGGAGGGAAGGGCAGCGGGGCCGAGGGGCGAGCGGGCAGGGGGTGCGCAGCAGCAGGAGGCACAGGGCGGCTCTTGTCCTCCATTTAATGTTGCCTTTGCTTTATCCTGATGTCGACTCTAGCCAGAACCGCGCCGCCACCCGCCCGCCAATCCCGGCCAGGGCTGGCACCCGGGGGAGCAGGGCACGTGGGCGCCAGCACTGCAGGAGGGCTGGGGCTGGGGCGCGCGTGGCGTGCCCCCCCGCCTCCCTCCTTCCTGCAGTGCGGTCTGCCTGAAGTGCAGCCCAGCTGCCGGCCGCACGCCCTGGCACGGATGGCGGCGAGTGCGGCCGCGCGACGCAGGCGTCACACGAGCTGTAAACCGATCGAAACTCATCGAAACATGGTCGAACACGGGGACCATTATTGCGGGCTTCATCCTCTCAAGTGTGTTGAGGCACGTGGCCAGGCGGCGGCGCTGTGGGTGGCAGAGGACAAGTGCACCTTGCTAGAGAGCAAGCCTGCCAGGAGGAGGGGGGCAGGCAGCGGGGGAGGACCCCCCCACGGCCTACCCTTCTCCTCACAGTTCACCCAGCTTGACATCCAGCACAGCGACCTGCGCCTCTGCCGCCCGCAGCAGTGTGTGTGTGTGAGATCTGGGTCGCGGGCGGTACGCACTTGAGCCACGATCGCCGTGCTGGAGGCCAAGCTCGCTGTGGTTGTGGAGAAGGGCAGGCAACTGGAGAAGAGCCCCCCGCTCTCCACGAGCACAGCGAGCTTTGCCCTGAGCTTTGCCCTCAGCACGGCGGCCTTGGCTCGCCGATGATGGCCCGCGGCCCGCAGCGCCGAGGCACTCCCCGCTGCTACGCTGGCGGGCACAGCCAAGGCGCGACAGCGGGGCTGCCACCCAGGACTGCCCCAGGCCCGGCCGCCGCACTCACTGGTCCGATTTTGCACTCACTGGGGGGAGAGGTATGCGGGAGAGGCAGCGCAGGCGGGCATGCCCAGGGACGGCGGCGCGGCTGCCGCCCAGGTGCCGGCTGCGCGGCTGCTGCCTGCAGGACCACCCCGCGCGTCGCGGCCGCCGCCAGCCACGGGCGCGCATCCACCCGCCGCCGCCCTGCTGCTGCCATGCACCTGAGCCCTCTGGCAGGCGGCTCGGCCGCATGCCGCGGCACCGCCGCGGCGGGGGGAGGCGAGCAGCTGATGGGAGGCAACCGCAGGAGGGGTGCAAAGGGTACTGCGTGGCAGCCCTGCCGCTAGTTGCTGCGGTTACGTCCCACCAATTGATCACCATCCACTTCGCCGCTGGCAAAGCCACGGCAGGCCCCTGCCCCCACACCCCCGCCGCATGCTGGAGCTGCAACGCGCCTGGAAGGGAGGCTGCCGGCGGCCGCGCGCCTCGCCGGCAGCGCCGCGGCGGCACGCGGGGAGAGCGAGGGACCCAAGCCGGCCCAAGAAGGGAGCCGGGCGGGGGCCTGGGCGGTGGCTCCCGCCCTGGCGCCATTCTTGGGCAGCAAGAAAGTAACGACCCGCTCTCTCCGCCCGCCGCCGCCGGCGGGCCTGCAGGCTCCCCGACCCGTCGCCACGATGCACCCCTTGCCGTCGCTTTGCTGCGCCGCTGCCCTGGCCTCCCCCGCCCAGCGCGGCCCCAGCAGCGCCGGGTCAGGGCCGGGTCTGCCCAAGTGGCGGCCACCGCGGCCCTGTGTTCAGCCTGCACCCGTTGTTGCCAGCGGCATGTGTTGATGCGGCCGGGACGCGCTGCCGGCCCGCCACGCTGGCGCCTGCCGGGGGCGAGGAGCGCAGGCGCAAGCGCGGCATGCAAGAGCAGCTGAACCGGCTGCATCGACACACACGATCGGCGACATCGGATGCTGGCTGACGCAGGCCTGACGTGTGCTTCCACAGGCGTGGCTAGTGCGCGCACCGCGACGGCGGCGCCGTGGGTGAGCCGGCCGGCCGGCAGGAGGGAGGGAGGTGGGGGCCGCACCGGGGCGTCGGCCAGGCGCCGGCCTGCGGCGGACACAACACCCCAGGCGGTGAGGCGGCGACGCTACGCACCCTCTCGCCCCCGGACGGCGGGGCCAGCCCGCCAACCGCTGCCAGAGGAGAGAGGGTGGCAGTGTCTACACACCTACACCGAGCGGGCGTGCGGCGCTGCAGGCCTGGCACCCGTTGCTGCGGCGGATGGAGCTGGCTGCAACCCGCTCCCCGCAGGGCAGTCCTGGCAGCTGGCGGGAAGCCGGGCGGCGCTCGGGCTCGCCTGCCCCCCGGCTCGCCCACTCCCGCCGCAGCCACGCAACCCAATCCTGCCACGCTGGCGGCGCACGCCCGAAACCCGGCGCGAGTGTGTGGCCGAACACCCGGCTGCCGAGGGCGCGCCCGACGCGCCCGGTGACCGCAGGCAGCCCGCCGCGCTGGCGCCCGCCGCAGGGCCAATGGGCGGCGCCGCGAGGGCGGCAGGCGCGATCGCAGCCAGCACTCTGCAGCTGCACCGGGCGACACGGAGCACACACATGGCAGGCAGGTGTGCGCTGAGACCTTATGCGCTGAGTCCCTATGAACCCTAGCAGGAGGGCTTCCGTGTGCGCACCACGACCGCAGTCTCGCACCGCAGCGGCGAGGGGCGGGGCGGCAGGCGGGACGCGCATGGCGGCGGCGTGGCGACAGGCATGCTGGGAGGCATGCTGCAGCTACCTTGCAGCTACAGCGGCTGCCTTCTCCCACCACTCTGCAGCGCTCTAGCCCCAGTGCAGCAGCAGCAGCGGCAGCAGCAGCAGCAGCAGCAGCGCGCCAGCCAGGCCAGGCTCTTGCGGCGGGGGGTGGGGCCGCGTGGACGCCGCCAGAAGTGCAGCCGGGGCTGTGTGCGCAGCCACGGGGGCGCCGTTCTGGGGCCGAGGACCAAGTACAACCCCCCCGGCGCACAAGGATGCCGCAGGGCGATCCCGCCTGCCCCTGCTGCTGCCCACACAACTACTGCCCTGCTCGGCCCCACCCCACAGCACGCAGGGCAGCGCAACCACGCTGCCTGCTGCCGCTGCGAAGCGACGGTTGGGTGGCAGCCGCAGCGGCAAGAAGGGCGCAGGGGAGGCGGCCCCCCCGCGCCGTTCTTGCCGCTGCATGCCGCGTTGAAACCGTCGCCCCAGGCGGCGGCCAGTGCGTGTGGTGCTGCTGCCACGGCGCGGTTGAGCGGAGGGGGCCAGGCACCTAGCCTGTGGCCGGCTGCAGCCCTCGCCGGGCAAAGGCCTCTCTGACGGCGCTGAGGCAGCGGCCGAGGCGGCAACGGTGGCAGCGGCGGCAGCAGGGACATGCGACAGCGAGCAGCAGCGACGGGCGGCAGCACGCAGAAGAGGCAGTCGTCGGCGGCAGCTGCTGGACTGAAGGAAAGGAGAAGGAAAGATTGGGAAAGAAACATGAAAGAAAAGAAAGAATACGGGAAGGAAAGGAGAAAGGAAAGGAGAAAGAAGCACATGAAAGAAGAAAGTAAGAAAGAAGGAAAGGAAGGCAGGACAGAAGGAAGCGGCGGCTCACTCACCGTCTACGTCCAGAACTTGGAAGGCGGGCCCAAAGTCGCAGAAAACCTGGGCAAACACGCCGCGCACGTCGGCCTGCGGCGGGCAGGGTGGGAGGTCGGAGATGGGGGTGGGTGGCGGGCGGAGGGGTGGGGCAGGTGGGAGGCGGGCGGAGGGGCGCGCGGGTGGGAGGTGGGGGGAGGGGTGTGGGCGGGCGGTGGCGAAAACAACGCCGTCACACACACACACAGAAACACACGCACGCCGCGCGCGGATGCTTGGGGTCAGGCTCCTTCTGGCTCGACTTTGTGTTTGTGTAGCTCTCCTGCCCTCCCCTGAGCCGCACACCCACGCGGCGGCGGGGCGAGGCGTGTGCGGGGCAGGGGAGGGCAGCCTAACAACAGAAACACAAGAGCGAGCCACCAAGAGCCTGACCCAAACCAACCGAGCATGTCGGTGACCGCCGGGGCAGCTGCACGCAACAGGCGGACCCCAGCACGACACAACACACAACACCGTGCACGGACACCAACCACCCCACCCCTACCCCACCCCACCCCACCCCACCCACCTTGATGAATGCGATGCCGTGGGCGCGGCAGAATTCGTCGACGCGGATCGACTCGCCCAGCGGCGTGTCGGTGGCCACCACCACCTGCGGTACAGAACGTACGGGCGAGGTACGGGTGAGGTATAGGTGAGGTACAGGTGATGCACAGGTGCGGTACGAGTGGTACAGGTGAGGAGAGGGAGGTGCAGGCTAGGTACGGGAGGCAGGGGCGCGGGAGGCAGGTGCGTGGGGGGCGGGGCTGGGCCGAGGGGTGCAAGACAAGGCACAGAGAAGCCGCCACCACACCGGGAGGTGGGTGGGGGCGGCTGGGGGCGGCGGCGGCTGCGGCTGGTGGCGCCGGCGGCGCCACACACAGACACACACGGTGTGCGTGTCACACACACACACACAACCCCACCTGGAACTGCGCCAGCAGCGCGTCGTCCAGGTCAGCGCTGCTGGCCGCCACCGGCACGGCGGTGTTCAGCTCCTGCAGCGCCTCCCTGCGGGGCGGGAGGAAAGCGCGGCCCCGGGGGGGGGGCAGGGCAAACGGCAGGCAGGGGTTTGGGCAGGGCCACGGCGGCGGGTGGGGGGTTGGGCAGGGGCCGCATCCCACTCGGCTGCGCGCTGCACTCACAGGTGCATGCACTGAGCGCTCACCTGCAGGCCTCAGCACGGTTACGCCCCACGTCGCCCGGGGTCAGGTAGAACTGGGCTCCCAGGTCGCGGAGGGACACCTGCGGGGACACACAGGGGCAGGGGCAGGGGGCAGGGGCAGGGGCTGAAAAGTGAGCGGCTGGGAGGCTAGCGGCTGGGAGGCTAGCGGTTGGGAGGCTAGGAACACAGAGAGACGGACAGGGAATGGAGAGAGGAAGAGGGGGTGGCTGGCCGGGCGCGGGAGGCGGCACATGCAGGAACGAAGGCCAGATCAGCTGGCCGCCTGGACGGCGGCAGGGGGAAGGAGGGGGCAGGCAGGCGCATCCACACGGCCTGGCGCCCATCGCGAGTTGGGCGATGCGCCGCCAGCGACCGGAGGGAGAGGGGCAGGCACTGCTTTGGGCCGGCCCAGACAGCAGGGGCGGCCACCGCAGGCAACAGGGGCGGCCCCCGGCTGCCAACGCCCACCAAAACCACCCACGCACCCACCCACCCACCTCTGCCCTGTCGTGCAGCGTCAGCGACTTCACGCCGGCCAGGACAACATTCTTGGCTGCGGGGTGGGGAGGGGTCCGGGGCAGGGGGGGTGCAGAGTCGAGCAAGGGGTGGCGGTTCCAGGAAAAACAGGCAGCCACGTGGGGGGAGGCGCCGCAGCAGCACGGCGCAGCCCGCCAGGGGACAGGCTCGTATGTTCCTGCACAGCAAGCCCTCCCAGCCAAGCGCCACCAGCGGCACAAGCAAGCAGCAGCAGCAGCAGCACAGGCAGCAGCCGAGCCACCACCAGTAGCAGCAGCAGAGCCGGCACCGCCACCACACCGCCACCACACCACACTCCGCTCGCCCTCCTCCCAGCCCACCCAGGCAGGCAGGCAGGCAGGCACGCAGCAGCAGCAGCAGCACCACCACCACCACCACCACGACTCACCCACTTCCACGCCCAGCCCGCCCGCGCCGCACACCAGCACGTTGCAGGCGGCCATGCGCCGCATCGACTCCTTGCCGTACACTGCCAGCTGCGGGGGTGTAGGGGGTGGGGTGGTGGTGTGTGTGTGTGTGTGTGTGTGGTGGCGTGTGTGTGGTGGTGTGTGTGTGTGGTGGTGTGTGTGTGTGTTTCCAGCACCGTTTCTCACACACCCATTATTGCACGCCCAGCCCTGGCCCGGCCCTGCCGGGGCCCAGCCCGGCCCCCCTGCCCACCCCGCCCCGCCCCACCTGGCGGGAGTGCAGGTCCTCATCGATCTCCACAGCAGGCGCCCCGTTTGCATTAGCTGCAGGGGCAGGGGGTGGGTACAGTGCTACTAGTAAAGTGAAGTGAATAGGCACGCGGCTGGGTTGCAACCCCTGAATAATGGCCGCCTGCAGGGCGCCCCGCGCCGCGCCCAGGCCGCGCAGCCGCTCGTGCGAGCGTTCCAAGGCGTGGCGGCACCCCCACGGCTGCCCCGGCAGGCAGGTAAGCGGCGCTGTGACCGGCCGCCTGCAAAATGCAACCGCCCAAGGGGGAGGCTCGGGCGCCGCCCCTCGGCGGTGCCCCGAACCCAGCCCCACCTTCGTCGCTCATCGTCGTCTTGCTCTTCTTGGTGTCGGGGAGGTCCTGCGGGGGGCGGCAGCAGGGCGACTAGGTTGAGGCTGGGCCCCGGAAGGGCGCGGGCGGCGGCGGGCAGGCGGCGGGTGGGCACGCCGGCGCCTCGGGCGGCCCGTGGGGCGGCCCGCGTGGCGCGCAGGCCCGCCGGACGGTCATGATCGCGGCATCAGCGGCGGCAGGGCCCGGGGCGGGCCCCAGGGGCGCAGTCAGAAGCCGATCAGAAGGCCATGTGGTCACAGAGCGGCCAGAGTGCCACGCGGCGGCAGCACCGCGGCCTGGCAGGCCCCCAGCGCCCACCTGCTCGAGCCCACCGGTGCCTCTCTTGGACATGAACGCCCTGCGATCAAGTGGAGTCTCGAATGCGGCTGCCGGCCCCTGTCTGCAGCCCCCAGCCCTCTCCAGAATAGATGGTACGCTTGGAAATGCCGCCGGCGGCCGCCCTGGCGCCGGTTTGGGCGAGCTGGGCAGCCGAATGTACACACACGCAGTACAGGTTTGGGTTCTGCATCGTTGGCGCTGCTGGAGCAACCGGCAGGCCTTGCACCAATCTCAGATCAACTGCGTTGAGTCGCCAGGGGGCCTGGATCGCTCCAAGGCAGTTCGAACTCCCTCTCCGGCGGCTCCTTTTGCTTATAAGAACGTCCTGCGCCTCCCAAACCAGCCCCCGGTCCCACCAAGCAGCCCATGGCCTCCCAGCACACGCCGCCGCGGCAGGCGGCGCCGCCGCCGCAACCGCCGCCACCCGCAGCCGCCACCGCTGCCGCTTCCGGCCAGCCGGCGCCCGGCCAGCCGGGGCAGGCCGGCAGCTACCAGGAGGAGGTGCAGGAAGGCTTCCGCCAGCTCAGGGCGCTGTTTGCGGCCATAGACGCGGGGCAGCTGTCGCCGGATGACCCGGGGGCGTTCGAGAGCGTGCGCGGGCGGCCAGGTGGGTGTGGGTGCGGGCGCACACACATGTGTGCAGCTGCGCAGCTGTGCAGCTGCCGCTTTCCTGCAGATTAGCTATATTAGCAATACACGCCCCCGCTGCGCTGGGCTGGGTGCCACCACTGCCCCTGCCCCCACGCTCTCCACCCATGCATCACAACCCGCGCCGGCAGCTTGCCACCACACACACTCACGGCACCGCCCTCCCTGCAGCCACCTTCCCCCATCCAAGCCACCCCTCCCCTGCTGCCTGCCTGCTCCCCCCACCCCCTGCAGGCGTGGTGCTGGATCCCATGCCCTGGCAGCGCCTGGTGTCACTGGTGGCGCAGGGCGTCGAGCGGGCGCTGGGCAGCCTGGGGCGGCACCCGCTGGGCATCAAGCGGTACTGGGACCACCGGGACCACGTCATTCTGCGGGACCATGTGTCGGGTGGGTGCGGGGCTGGTCTGTGGGGGCGGGAGTGGGAGTGGGAGACTTGGACCCGTCCCGCTGGAGCCGGCAGCCCTCCCGCTGGAACCGGCGGGTCTGGGCGTCCGGCGATGCCCAGCCTGCCGCATCTCCCACCTGTACCGCCTGCATGTACTGCCTGTACCGCCTGCAGTCACCGACTACCTCATGCTGGACATCTTCGGCTTCGCCGCTGAGCTGGAGCCAGACGGGCGGCGCCGGGCCCTCGTCCCGCCCGGCTTCTTCCTGGCTTCCACCCCGGCTGGCGGCAGCAGCGGCGGCTGCAGCAGCGGCAACGGCGGCGGCGGCGAGGGGGGCGGCTTCCAGCTGGTGACCAAGTGGCGGGACAATGTGAGGGCGGTGCCGGGCCGCGGCCGATTTTCATGTGTGTGTGCCTCCACCTGCCTCTGCCCCTCCCTCCCGCCATGTGCGCCTGTCACGTGCTGCCTCTGCGTCGCTCACTGCCGGCCGGCTTGGCCATGGCAGGCAGGGATCCCTCCCTTGCTGCCCCAAATCCCACTCCCTCGCTCCCTCTCTCCCTCCCTCCCTCCCTCCCTCCCCGCCCCCAACAGGACTTCCCCTACCACCTGCAGCCGGGGGTGGCCCACCTCAACCTCTGGGCCAACCGCCCGCTGACGGCGGAGGAGGTGCAGGAGCACATTGCGGCGCGGGTGGGCGGCCCGGGGCTGCTGGTGCTGTTGCAGCCGCCGCTGCCGCCGTTTGCTGCCTCTGCCGTGGCTGCGGCTGCCGCCGCCGCGGGCCAGTATAGGGCAAGGCGGGGCGGGGTGTTGCCAAGCCACGTGTTGCCTGGCCACCAAACTCCTGCTGCCCCCCACGCCGAGCACCATCGCTGATTCATAGCTGGGCAACACCGCCAGCCATACCATCACAACCAAGGCATAGGGATGCCTGGATCATCGGTGCTCGCCAGCGGCTTGGTGCTGGCTATAGGCCATGCCATAGGCTATGCCTAGCCATGACGCTGGCGCACGGCTGATTGGGACCGACAGTGGATGCCGGGGCAGCACCATGCTGCCCCGCCAGGCGGTGACCGCCGCCGCCAGGCCTCCTCCCCGCCTCTCTGTCTGTCTCTCTTCCTGCTACACCTAGTCAGAGCTGGCAAGTGCTGCCGTGGCTTCGCCTGAGCGCTCCCACACGCCCCCTGCAGGTGCCCCCCGCCGCCCCGCGCTGCTGGTTTGTCAACACCCCCAGCCTCCAGTCGGTGCCCGCCCTCTGGCACGCCCATGTGCTGGTGCTGGAAGAGGGGGAGGGGCGGCGGCCCGGCGGCAGCGGCGGCGTATAACCTGAGCCGGACGCGTGGGCGAGGTGCGGGCGAGGCGGCGACGGGAGACTGGGAGCTGCAGCGCCAGGGCGTGGCCGGCGCAGCGGCAGGAGGCACGGCGGCGGCGGCGGCTGTGGCAGGTAGCCCGCAGCCCTGCGCAAGCACTGCGAAACACTATGCCACGGTTTCACCACTGGCTCTCTTTCCAATTCCTTCTGCCATGAACTCGCGTGTTCTGAATGAACCAGCTGTCCATTTCCACTCACCACCCAGCTCTGCTGCCACCATGCGGGGTAGCCATGCGGGCAGGAATGCCAGTTATGTCTGCCCTGGCAGCATCGGCAACAGAAAACAGCACATGTGTGCAGGCCAGGCCTGATTCTGAGCAGCACTGGCCAATTGCTGATGGTCGGCGGCCACACACGACGCAGCTCCGCCCGCTGCGCTGGGCACGCTGCGGCGCCAGGCTGCGCGTGCGCTGAAGCGGCGTGTATGGTGTAGGCCCTTGCTCGTTAGGGAATTCCAGCCCATAAACTCGAGTATTGTCTGACGAGCTGACGCACTAAAATATGCCCTGGCGCTATATTATTCCCTGACTCCGCGCCCCCCGGCGCTTTGGGCCCTCTCCGGCCGCATAGCCAGGACAGTGGTCGCAGCAGCCGACGCTTGCGTCCCTTCAGGTCCCGTGCACCCCGTTCGACACACTAAACACCCGGCCTCCATCCCCCTGAGGAGGCTGGGCTAGGGTGATCCGCGTGTCAACAACAATATGGTGAGTTCAGTCAGCTGTGGGAATGACAGCTGCCGAAGCTGCCAAAGACGCGCCGCGGCAGGGTAGAGCTAGGGCAAGGGATTTGTTAGGGTAGGGCAGGCCTGCTAGCTTGGTGAAACGCCGTATGGCCATACGGCGCCCATGTGTGCACAGCAGTAAGCAGCGATGGGCCTTGATGGGGGCCTCCCCGCCTCTGCCCCCCGAGACCATTGGGCTGCCGGCGCCGGCGCCGGCACCGCGAAGCCTCTGCCTCTTACTCCGTGCCCGCTCCTGCTGGAGCTAGCAGCACCCCCGGCGGTACAGCGGGACAGCACGGCGCAGCAGGAGCACACCTCCGCACCCCCGCAGCAGCGCCAATTCGAGCTGGGGACAGCTGAGCAGCTGGCAGCAGCCGTGGCGCTCCTCGCAGGCACGCAGAGGCAGCTGGATGCCCTGGCAGCGGCAGCGGAGTCAGCGGCCAGCCCTGCAGCCCTGGAGCAGCTGGCAGCGGCATTTGCTGAGCTCATGGTGGAGACCCTGGATGGCGCAGGCATGCGGCAGCGCAGCAGCAACGGCGGCGCCCAGCGACCACACTGCCTCCCCCGCAGCCTACAACGGCAGTACGGCATCCGCGACGCAAGAAGGGCGCAACGCAATGCGGTGCAGCAGGCAGCTGTTGCGCAGCAACGTGGCATCGGCCCTGAGCAGCAGGACGCAGCCCTGCGGCGGGAGGTGGGACGCTGCCGCAACCGCCTGAAGCGCCGGCTGGTGGCAGCGTGGCACAAGTGCCAAGCCCTCCGCGGCGAGAAGCTGGAGCAGCTGGCCAAAACGGACCCACAAGCCTTCTTCTTCAGGCTCAAGCCCCAAG